TTTAATTTAATTAATATTTTTTTAATATTGACCGCGCATCGCGCGGGTACGACTACTAGTTAAGGTATAACAAATAAGGAAAGGCGTTGTCTAAAATTTCCCTACCTTTGCATGACTTCCTTCAACTGAGTTATCTTAGACTCGGCCTCCAGAACTTGCTTCAATCGCTCCTCGCTTATTTTGACTGTCTCCTCATATTTTTTCTCTGTTTCATCAATTTTCTTTTCCAACGAGTTAACAATAACCTGCAACATATTTGACAAGATATTGAAAGCCAGTTCGACAACTAAATTATGACAATAATGCATCAGAAGCTGTAACCATGGAGTACTAATCTTGAGCAAGAAAACAGTCTATAGAATATTAAATTAGAAGCAGAAAAACTTTTCCTGGTCAGACTTAACTCATGTGCTTTTTGATCTTCAAATAGAGTATGTGTGAAGATATGAACCTTGGGCCTAACTCAAACCCAAAAGCTAGCTCATGAGGGGAGGATTGCCCAAGTCCATATAAGGAGACCACCAGCTCATTCCCCAACCATTGTGGGATTCTAACCCACTCTAACACCCCCTCACACGCCCAGACCGCCAACTGGAGTGTGGACAATATAACACTGGAGCCCAAACGGGAATGGGCCCGGCTCTGATATCATGTTAAAGAAATGGACCTTGGGCCTAACTCAACCCAGAAAGCTAGCTCATGGGAGAGGATTGCCCAAGTCCATATAAGGGGATACCATCCCATTCCGCAACCAGTGTGGGACTCTAACCTACTCTAACAGTATGCAATATCCATCAAATAGTACAACACATTTACTTCTACATCCTTACCTTAAGCTGCTCATTTTCAGCATTAAGCTTGTCGACCAGCCCCTGATCTATAACTCGGACCTCTTGTATAATAGATCCTTGTTCCGCAACCTTTGTGGTAGCCCCACGTTCCTTCACGAGCTGCTCTTTTGCTTCTTGAAGCTGAAGCCTTGTCTCTTCCAATGCAGACTGTAATTTCATTGTTTCCTGGGCTTTAGTTTCCTCCAGATTGTCCTTTGTGGTAGCCCCACATTCCTTCACGAGCAGCACTTTAGTTTCTTTAAGCTGAAGCCTAGTCTCTTCCAATGCAGACTGTAATTTCATTGTTTCCTGGGCTTTAGTTTCCTCCAGATTGTCCTTTGTGGTAGCCCCACATTCCTTCACGAGCAGCACTTTAGTTTCTTTAAGCTGAAGCCTAGTCTCTTCCAATGCAGACTGTAATTTCATTGTTTCCTGGGCTTTAGTTTCCTCCAGATTGTCCTTTGTGGTAGCCCCACATTCCTTCACGAGCAGCTCTTTAGTTTCTTTAAGCTGAAGCCTAGTCTCTTCCAATGCAGACTGTAATTTCATTGTTTCCTGGGTTTTAGCTTCCTCCAAATTGTCCTGTATAATATGGTTTCTGTCAATTAGCTGGTATAGAAACAAGATGCTACTGCAAAATAGAATCACATTTTGTTTCTGTTTATTTTCAATGCTTGCTTGCATTGATCCAACTCCATAATCCAATAATAAACACTTCATAGTGAAACTATAAAACATACATGTTTCCAACATGATTTGCATCAAAAATATTTGAGCTATATAAACTCCAAATACAGCAGAATAGACATATAGGATGTGAATAGCCGAGCCCAACTACTTTCAGATTGAGGTTTAGTAGGCTCTAACGCAAAAAAGATATAAAAATTAACAAATTTGATCAAATACTGAAGTCAGAGCAACAACCAGAAGTTGATCTAAGACTCCAGCAAATGGAAATCTATTTTAAGTCTGAAGTCTAGAAATACAATTAGATCTATGTCTTAGTTGCCAAGTTTAGGACCTGTAACTCACAATAATGTGCAAAAAAGATGGACTGGTCAAATATGAGAAGAAATCATTTCCTTTAAACTGAGTGCAAAGAGGAAATACGACATCATAGCTAACCATCCTGTTAGAACATAATTACCAATTATAAAAACTGATAGTAATCTAGTAAGTTCAAAGAAATATATTTACCCTCATGCGCTTCTCCACCTGTAGTCTCTGTGTCAGCTCTTCAACTTCCTTTTCCAGCTTGCTTTTGGCTTCTTGGAGAGCTCCAGTTTCTTTCGCTGCCTGGAGCAGAAAATAAAATCAAGACATTTAACACATCTATTAAGGTATTTGAACTAAAGCCTGCGAAATCATATGAGTTGAACATAAAAGTCGGCTTTATGTCACTAAAGAAAATAAAACTAAAGCTCCAGCTCTTCGGTTTCACTCCACAAAAGCATGTTCATTTCCAAATAATTCCTTTCTTTTAATGGAGATCTTGCTTTATGTCCACTAAAGAAGAGAAAACTAAAAGAGAAATCAGAAGGAAGAGAAGGAGATGATAAAAAGAACTATACTGGCAGAAAATTTTGCACTGCAAGATCATATGGATTGAACATAAAAGCCATATCAAAAGCCTTATTTGTCATCCTTCGTGACACAATGCGCAAAAGGCACACCATAATGCACAAGGGTCGACACAGCAATTGTTGGGACTTCCACTGCTATGACATGGACTTCCCACAAACCACCTGGTTATTTTTGGTTCACCGTTCAAAGGTGCCCAGTTCAGCACACACATAAAAATTACCTTCTACCATCGCCCTGATGACTGAACCTCCATACATTAATTATTGGTGGGTAAGGGTGAGAGGAACAATATGTTTCTTGCCTTTCTATTCAACTATTTCTTGCTTTGTAATTAATACAAAGTACTGAGAAAGTTCACTATTATTCACTGAATGATTCAGAACTAGTTGTTATTCTATCGTAACAGAAAACTGGGAGAATAATGACACATACAGTTTACACAGATCAAGGGACACAACAAACTAGCATGTCGTACCCAAAATCTTGTGAGCGGTAAAGGCGAACAGAGTGAGTTCTTACCATCTTTAGCTTTCGTAGTTCTCTGCGGGCCATTTTAGCTCTCCAGGCACATTGTAACACAATTGCTGCTTTCTTCATCCTCCTATAATGTAGCCGTTTCAAGTATCTCCGCCAATCACTCTATAACCAGCATAATCAAAGAAAGAAAAATTACGCCGAAGCTATATGTCAGTCAAAGCATGTAAAATGGCTTAGTTACTTGCGTTCTAAATTATCATTATGCTGATCCTGAAGGATAAAAAATTGACGCTAAAATGGCATGTGAAATTCAGAAAAGCCAGTAGAAAATCTCTCTTTACCTGGATAAAGATAGCTGCATTTGTTCGCTTTCTGAATTGAAGCTCATTTCGAGCA